AAAAATACTTCCCGATCTAGTAACGACCATTGTTAGAAACAAGAGAGATGGAGTTGAATGAAGCAGCGGTGGCATGAGGCGATCGAAAAGGGCGAGTGCGCCTGGGCCAAGGAAAAGGCGCTAAAATGTGTCCAATTAAATGAAACGGTGAGTTTCACTAAATTGGGTAAAAATCCAAAGTCGTGCCCGATTGCTCCTTGCTTCTTGTGCACAAATGATTGCTCCAAAATTTGATAATTTCAAGTGTTATTCGATCGGTTTTCAACTTTAAAGTAAATCCAAATTTAATTAGGAATGACGGGTACCTGCAAAATTTAAAGAAAAATAAAATAAAAACATAAATAAATAAAATGGTAATAAAAATAAATAAAAAATAAGCAAACAAAAGATAAAAATGGGTTACCTCTTATTAAATCATTTTATTTAACGTCATTAGTTTGATGACCTGATCCAGACTACATGTTCCGCAAGATGCTTCCTCCACTTCCTGGTCATAATTTAAAAACAAAAGACATTCCCATGCATAGAAATCAAGTAAAAACACCCAAATCAATAATAATAATGAACAAACGAGGAGTATTAAATCATAAAATGTTGCACAAAATAAACACTAGTCAAATGTATGCTTATTAGGCTCAAAACTCAGAAGAATAGGCTTAATGTATCAAGTCTAGCATCAATTCAACTAATAAACCATGGAATGTCAAAAACATTTCTTGAAAGATTCACTAGCTATGCCAACTAACCATCATGCATCAAAGTTCAATTCAAAGTAAAATTAAAAATTCATCGAAAAAATTAAAACAATCAAGTAAACTAAAGAATAGGCAAGAAACAATTCAAATAATTCAAAATCAAAATAACTCAATTCCAACCATCCAAAAATCAAGGTGAAATTCAACAATATTCCTCCCATCACTTAATCCATTTTATCCCAAAACATAATTCAAATTTAAAGCAAAAGAGGGAAAAATAATACTCTTCGATCTAGTGATGACCATTGTTAGAAACAAGAGAGATGGAGTTGAATGAAGCAACAGTGGCGTGAGGCAAGGGCGAGTGCGCCTGGGCCAAGGAAAAAGGCGCTAAAATGTGTCCAATAAAATGAAACGGTGATTTTCATTAAATTGGGTAAAAATCCAAAGTCTTGTATGATTGCTCCTTGCTTCTTGTGCACAAATAACTGCTCCAAAATTCGGCAATTTCATGTGTTATTCGATCGGTTTCCAACTTCAAAGTAAATCCAAATTTAATTAGGAATAACGGGATACCTACAAAATTTAAAGAAAAATAAAATAAAAACATAAATAAATAAAATGGAAATAAAAATAAAAATAAAAAATAAGCAAACAAAAGATAAAAATGGGTTACATCCCATTAAAGCGTTTTATTTAACGTCGTTAGTCTGATGACCTGATCCAGACTACATGTTCCGCAAGATGTTTCCTCCACTTCCTGGTCATAATTTAAAAACAAAAAAAAAAAAAGAAATAAACCAATAACTTGCACTTAGTCCCCAGCAACAGCGCCAATTTGACACGCGTCATTTTTCGCTTCAAAATAATTTTTTCCTCTCAATTAATAATAAATAAATGAAATTTAACGTAGTAAAGGAGAAGTAAGTGTCAAACCCAGAGACTAAGAAAACTTTATGATTTATTCGTGTTTTGTTTAATCTTTGTGCCAAGAAGTGGATGGAGTAGAATTTGAGTAATGGGGGATTTGTAGATGAAGAGAGTAAAGTAAATAAAACAAGAAAAGAAATAAGATAAAAAAAAGTAAAGAAGATTTAAAATAAGTGAATTCAATAAGGTAAATTAACCTTGGGTTGTCGCTTTGACTCAGTTTCTTTGGATCATCGAAATAGTTTTTTTTACTTCGGGATTCATGTCGGTTACTTGTCTACAAGGATCAATCCTTGTGACTATGCTTTATATACCGAATACCCAAGTACAAACTTTGATTCCAACTTTGAAAATTAATCTAATTAACATTAATTGTTGTAAACCAAGAACCAATTAAGTTCGTAAAAGACCGACTCAGATTATGTTGTTTCAACAATAACAGATTCCGATCTCAATTCCCCCTTAGCAATCATTGGATAAGTGTGTTCATAGGAAGTCGAATGTTCTTTCAATAAGTTGATCTTTCCTCCCACACGTTTAATCGCAACAACATCCTGACCAACGTCAATCTTTGGTTTTGAAAATCGTTTTGATTTTTGAAAATAAGTGCAAGAAATTGAGAGAGATTTCCGAAGATATTCAAGTGTTTTTCAATTTTTCACGTTGAAATTGAGTAATCGCTTTAGCCATTGGCTTAAAAGAAAATTAAAGAAAATGAAATTAGAAGAAAAGAAAGAATTTTTATTAAACTAAAGAAAGAAAAAAATTAGGCAATCTGAGATATCATTGAAGCTTTAACCAAGGTGAGTATTTATAGTTTCCTAAAACCCTAAGATGTGCTGAAAATACAAAAGATAACTATTTAAATTTAAATCATAAAAATTAAAAAGCTAATTCCTAAAAACTTGAATTTCAAATGCTTGAAATGCTTCAACCATCCATCCACCTTATAGAATTGTTGACTGGACGCTGCTGACTGGACTTTCTAGAAGTTGGTAACTCATTGCCACATCAGCATTTCATGCCCATTGTTCCAGCCTTGATTCTAGAACAAAAAGTACAGTTTTTAGTCATTTTAAGTACATTATCATGTAAAAACGTCCTAATCAACAAAAATAATGAACAAACGAGGAGTATTTAATTATAAAATGTTACACAAAATAAACACTAGTCAATCAATATTCAACTTAACGACATTCACCCTTGGCTGTTGCCACGGCCTCTCTCTGTTCACAGGCTCATAATCAACGCGAGTTCGTTTGATATTCGAAATTTTTGCGGACACAGCCTATTCCGTAATCCAAGAGCTTTGATTTAAAACACTTTCCTTCATTGCATAATTCTCATCAAACAAGAGTCGATTTCTTCGACACAAAGACACCATAAAATAGATCCAAACATCAAATCCCAATCGGCAATAACCTTAGGAAAATACTCCGACTTACCAATATTCAGTTCCAACTAATGTTTTTGCCATGGTACAATCTCGATGAATATGTAATTTGGACTCAACATCCGCACTACAAATTCCAAAGCTCAAGTCCGTTGCCATGTGCCTACACCAACGCTCCTCATTCGAAAGAATTTTGTTCTTGTATAACAACCAGAGGAATAATTTTATCCTCGACAAACCTCGATAGGCCTGAAGGGGTATCCACATCGAAACCTTATATGTGAATCCCATACGCGTTTTTCTGCTAAGATAAGCGCTTCTCACCGAGAAACCGTTATTCTCCTCCCAGTGCCAGGGTGGTACGTCCTTGCCACCCTCCTCAATTAACCGTTAAGTCACAAACAGGAAAGGGATTTTCATTCGATAAGCCAGGAACAATACACCAATATTTTCAAGGTCCCAAGTCAGCAATCCACATATCTTCCCAGACATCAACCAAAGAGCCATCCCTAATACTCCATGACAACCCCGATCAAACATTATTCCACACTAGCGCAAGTCCCGACCAAAATCTTGAGTTCCCCACCTTACTGATAAATACCGACATGTTACTGTCGAATTTATATTTGGCCTTCAAAACCGGAACCCATAACTGATTCGTCTCTGAGATAAGACGAAACACAATCTTCATAAGAAAAGCATAATTTTGGATACACAAAATTTTAAACTCGAGCCCTCCATTTTTAATTGGCTCACATACTTCATGCCACTGTACAAGATGTACTTTCTGTTTCTCATCAGATCCACCCCAAATGAATCTACGGATAAGTTACACAATCACCATACAAATACCTTTTTGGAGGTGATAGGTTTACAAGGCATATGATGGTAGGGGGTAAACGAGCCGAGTCGAGTTCGAGTATTGCCGAGCTCGACTCGAACTCGAAAACTTTAAATGTAGGCTCGACTCGAAAACTCGCGAGCCTAAAATTTTCAAGCTCGACTCGAACTCGAAAGATAATATTGAAACTCGACTCGAACTCGAAAAGGCTCGAACTAAAAAAAATTCAAGACATCGATTGAAGCTCAAGACTCGAGCTCGATTGAAGCTCAATTTTGAGCTCGATTTTGAGCTCGATTCAAGCTCGAATTCAAACTCGAATTTGAACCTACAAAAATCTTATATTACATTTAAAATATATAAATAATTTGCCCTTTAATCAACCATCACCAATACATTTTTTTTATGATAATATGAACTCATTTCAGAAACTTTATAGGATGCATACAAGAGTAGTTATGATTGTAGAACATGTTCTAAACACATAACATCAAACATGCGCCCACACCAGGCACCCATTTACAATCCTCCCAAAGCAAAACAACAACTTTTGCCATAAAAATAGTGTTTCAAAACTCAAAATACAAAGGCAAATCTTCCATAGAAAACACGAAATCCAGCAACAAAATATTCCAATCTACCTGTTCATGTACCACAAAACCCAAATTCACAAAAAAAAAAAAAATAACTGTAACATGCCCAAGCTTTCATACATAGCACCTATCAAAAAGAGTAAAAGACAATAAATAATAATAAATTATTCTATAAAAAAGCATGAAATCATTACAAATATGAAGTAAAAAAAATACAAGATTAACAAATTCAAATATTAAACCTTTTAATTTGTCACATTATCGATTCTTTCAAAGGTACTGATATAATAATTTCTTTCGGTTGTTTGTCATCATTTTGCAATAATTTAAAAACTCAAATAAGTCTACATATATTTAAAAAAGAAAACAAACTCTATCATAAAAAAATACATTTACCTTATTCTTTCTTTTCACTCCATGAAGGGATCTACACCAATCACCTGCACACACCAATCAATAGGCATGTCATACAATAAGATACCAAGAATTTGGTTATGCACAAGAAGATTGCGGGAGCTAGAACCAAACACAAATTTTGTGCAGGCAGTAGCCCTGCCATGGAAGATAGGCTATAAAGAATACCTAAATGGACCTTTGGGATCTCTGAGAGGAACTTCAATACGATCAAGGGCTTCGAATAGACAGGGGCCATTCCACCAAGGATATATGCTCTTATCTATTCTTGCTTTCATGTTTAAACCAGCAAGACCAGCTATAGGTAGGAACTGAACATCTGTAAGTTCAAACAAGAGTAACCAATCAAATATAACTGGCTTTAAAGAACTAATTATATGCAAGGAAAATTAATCAAACCATAAAGCATGAATATAATCCTCACCAACATAAACATGCATGCTATATCTGAATCTATTAAGAGTTGGACAAAAAGAGCATGGTATGTTAATCAAGCATTTAAAGAGCAAAATCCTAATTAGATATAAGTTAACTTTAAAATTAGGCAAGATAACATCAATTATTTGTGTCTAGGTCCATAATTTCAGCTCCAAAATATTCTGATAAATTCTAATTTCTCAAATAGCACCTAAGTTTCCTAGACAAACTTACAGCAAGTGTTTTCCTTCATAATTTGATAAAACAATAGCTTGGTTGACTAGCCAAACATCATTGTTAAAAAAAGGTAAAATTTCTTTGTAAGACAATTGCAGAGTTCGATGCTGACATATCAGACTAAATAGCCCACAACCACGATATATGCATATCTGGACGGCAGAGGACAAGTCCAATCATAAAAGTAACCATATACGTGTTACATAACCTCAAATTCATTTGTTAGTTTCTCTAGTTCCTCTGCACAGTTAAGTTGTTCTTATCTCACCATTACAATGACATAAACGAACAGTTCTACAAGCTTGAAAACATCAAGAAAATATTGCAACTTGCAAGCTCTTAAATAACAACATTTCAAATACCTTTCTTCACATTGTAGCCTGAAGACTTCAGAAAAGGTGTCATCTTTGACTCAATTTCATCATACCTGAAGAATAAGACATCTATCAATAATATGAAAATCCACACAAAAGGCGGCAAAGAAGCTAAGACTAGTAATGAAAAGACATGCAAAACACCTTTCTTTAGACCAGTTGACAGTGTGCTCATCCATCTTATTAACTACTACAAGTAGCTTTGCAACACCTAACGTCTTTGCCAATTGGACATGTTCACGGGTCTGCCCACCCTTCTCATATCCAGTTTCAAATTCCCCTTTACGAGCAGAAATAACCTAATCAAGAGACATAGGATATTGAAAAATCCAAAGCACACAGTCTGAAGATTATATAAGAAATTAAAGATATTGGATCTAACTTACCAACACTTAAATGTGGAAAGCAAACATAAACTAAACTTCTCGCTCAATGATGCTTATAAAACAGTTCAATAATATATAATATGAAACATATACACATTCATATGTTTTGGATCTAAACCAAGTTAAAGGCATAAAGGAGATAGCTTAAGCGTTTACCTTGGTTGTAGTTCATCCTGCTTTGCCTCCTAGCCGTTCAAGCCTCACTGTAAAAATAAGGGGCTGAGTTAGTCAAAAATAAGTTCATTATAAAATAAGAAGAGGTGGGTCTTGATAGTTTACCGTGCAGTGCATCGGAGTTTAGAGTCGAACTCATCGATCCTAGAAGTTGGGGGTTGTTGCATGTAGTCTTAGTGTTTGGGGGTTTTATAATAGTGAAGATCAGAGAGTTTAAGGTTGGGTAAGGCTTGTGTTTGGTTAACCAGCCGTTACTAATAGCAGTCGGAGTGCTTGGTTCTGAACTTTTTCACGGTGGCGTTGCTAGTGATGGGGAGAGGGTTTTATTTTCATGGTGGTTGTGGGTTTTGAGAGGGTCATGGTGGCGGTCGAAGTGTAGAACTCCGTTGAAGAAAGGCGAGAGGAGAGGCAGTTGCGGCACTGTTTTCTGGTTTGCGTGAGAATGAGAGGGGGAGAGTTGGAGAAGGTGAGGGCGTTAGGCTTGAGTGGCTGAAATGAATATTTAGTTTAGGTTTGTTTTAATTTAGGTTCTAAACCCTAATTAATTTTGGGGTTAATTATCGTTTAGCCACCGTAACCTTAGGAGTAAATTAGCTTTAGGCTCTCTAGATTTATGTGTTTTGTACAAAACAGTCCCTATATTGTTTAAATTTTAGCTTAAATTAGTCCTCACATTTAGGTTTTTCTTAATTTAGTCCCTGATTAAGATTGTTTTCTTTAATTAGTTGTGTATATTTATTTTGCATGTTGATATGTTTATGTTTATGTATAAGTATGCGAATGGTTTATTTAGGAGTCACATAACATCATTTTGCATAATTTGTATGTTACCTTCATGTATATAACTTAAACCCTAAACCCTAAACCCTAACTCTTAACACATAAACCCTAAACCTTAAATCATATCACATAAACTCTAAATCTTAAATCATATCACATAAACTCTAAACCCTAAATCCTAAACTAACTATAAAGCCTAAACTCTAAACCCTAAACCTTATCACATAATTAGAAGGAATGAGATGGATTAGTGAAAGGAGAGAGAGTATACTTGTTTTCTTTTGCTTTCTAGGGAACAAAAATCTAATAAGAAACTTCAATCTTTTTTATTTCTGCTCCTCTTCTCTTCTCAGTATTCTTTTTATTTACTGCTTTGATTTTCCAACTCTGCAATTATTACTTTCTTTTTTTTAGAGTAGAATCTAGTAATCCACATATATTTTGTCTTGTTTTACTTTATATGGTACATGTTAGTATTAGGGATGATCATTTTCTCTCAAATATGATTTGATGCCATTAATTTTGTTAATTAAGATATTAATTTAGTCTAAATGAGTTTTTTTTCTTAATTCTTTATAAAATCGGTTACACTCTATTTTGATATATTTTTTTAAAATTATTAATATTTAAATTGAATCATATTTTTTTATTATATTATATTTATTATCAAATAAAAAATTAGTTATGAGGTAAATACAATATAGTATCTTGATATTAAATGCTCAAACCCTTGATATTTATGATATTTGAACTCGAAACCTCAAAATATAACAAAAATTTAAAAAATTAGTTATTACAAATATTATCATTAGAAATATATTAAATATTTGTCAGATAAATAATTTTTTTATTAATTTAAAATAAATATAAGAATATTTATTCAAAAATAATTTTTAACCATTTTCAATTCAAGAATATTTATTCATCAATAATGTATTTTTAATATATTTTTAATAATGTAATTTTAAAAAATCTAAAATTATAAAATAATATTTTTTTTCTCACGAGCTTTTCGAGTCGAATATCGAGTAGCTCATTTCGGCTCGTTAAGAACTCGAGTCAAGTTCGAGCTTGAGTCAATTCCATTCGATCCGAATATTTATCGAGCCAAGATCAAGTCGATCTCGAGTAGCTCGCGATCTGTCTCGTCTCATTTACGGCCCTATACGATGGTAACGCCGCCAAAACCGCTTTTGCTAGCGTCACTCGCCCAACAAAAGAAAGATAGTGACTCTGCCAACCTGAAAGTCTGTCTTGTATCTTCTGAACAAGGTACTAATAAGTGGACTTGGTAACTAGGCTATGAAGCAACGAAACTCCTAAATACTTCCCCAATTGATCAACTCAAGTAGACTAAAAAGTAAAAACCCCTGCTAATATCAGCTTTCACTTAGTCATTTTTTGCATCACTAACATCGTGACCCGAACTAGTACAAAAATCCTGAAAAACTTGTTTAATCACATTTATCTCCACAGAGGCCTCAGAAGATCATCAACAAATAATAAATGTGATAGTTTATGTCCCATGCGACAGTTGGATTAGTTTCTATTCATTCTTCTGAACTTTCCTCTGAATAGCCTATGACAGCTCTCCATGCAAAGCAAGAATAAATATGGGGACAAAGGATTTCCTTGCTGAATACCCCGAGAAGGTGTGAATGAATTCGTATTCTTTCCATTCCACAAAATTTACGTTGTTGGCGTCGTAACACAACTCATAATCAAATCCCGCAACCTCCCCGGAATGTCAATATCAGTCAAAGTATCATGAACGAAGCTCCATTCCAAACGGTCATAAGCCTTTTCAATATCAACCTAAATCACCATCCACCCCCTTTTTCCCTTCTTCCTCTTCATCGAATGGATTACTTCTTGTGCAATAATTATATTATCAGACATACTGTGACCTGGGACAAAGCTTGTTTGACTGTCATTCACTCAACGAGAAATAAAAGGCTTTAATATATTCACTATTACTTTCGTAATTGCTTTAAAAAGGACCAAGCATAGACTTATTAGCCGAAATCATATGAGATTTTTCAGGGAGCTAGACTTTGGGATGAGGACAAGTAGCGTTTTATTAATTTCTGGCGGAATTCTTCACTCCACAAAGCAACTACGAACAAACTGGAACATTGACTCACCCACAATATCCCAATTCTGCTGATAGAAGAAAGCTTGAAAACCATTATAACCTAGGGCCTTGGAAGGATTCATAGAAAACATAGCTTCTTTAACCTCCTCTATGCTAAGATTTCAAATTATTATTTGCTCCATCGCCCGATCAATCGAAGAGAAACATCCGCGAACATTACACATGGAACCATTCACTCCCGAGCTAGAAAATAAATGTCCATAGAACCTTACATCCAATTGTCGAGAATATTTTGGTCAGAGCACCAATTCCCATTATTCAGACGAAGTGAATGAATCATATTCATCTGACGCCTCTGATTCCCATAGGAATAATAAAACTTTATGTTCCGATCTGTTGGAAGTAAAAGTCAAAAAAAGTTGGCAAAATTGGTGGCATCGAATTCCACTGAAAAGTTCACTAATTTTGTCAAAAAGGGCAAGCCTCAATTGTTGAAAATGAAAGGGTAAAATCTCACAATTAATCCCTGAACTTTAGGGTATTTATAAGATTAAGTCTTTAAGCTTTAACTATAAATATTCTAATTCATTAGCTTCAAAACCATCCCAAATCATTTCTTTCTTCTAATACTAGAGAGTTTTCTTGCGAGTTGTGAGTGTTTTGTAAACACCTGTAAATTTTCTCTCTTTAGTAAAAGATCTACAGTAGTCCGGAGACGTAGGTAAAATTGGTTGAACTCCGTTATCAATTTCGGGTATTATTTTCTCGTTTTTATTTCGCATTTTCACTAATTTGGTTATAGGAAAATTACTCGTTTATTTCCCAACACGATCTCCATTCAGAAACCAATTGCATCTAACTTTTTGAATTATTTAAATTATTATCCAAATTCCTCCTTATTCCAATCTATGAGTCGAGCAAACACAAAGCTTGATCAAACATGTCTAACATGGGTGTTGCTGCCAAGCAAACACAAAGCAAAAAGGCAGGGCAATTCTAACACAAAGCAAACACAAGCTTGAAACTTAAGGATTAATTTGTAAATACCCTAAATTACAATGACTAGATATGATTTTACCATAAAATAAAATAATATATTTTCTACACCTTTCGGTACCCCCATTTGACAAAGCAATTAAATGATTTTCGGTGCCATGTGCACCCATGTGCACCGTTTTTCAACAATCTCTCACATGAAGATTTGATTGGAACAATCATATCTTCACACCATTCTTTCTACCTTGTACCTTCATGTTGCTTATATTTCCGTCAGGCCACAAGAGGATCGACACCAAGTAAATTTATCGGCATTGATCGCATTCATCATGAAATCTGCTATGTTGTCTTTGGTATGAGTCTTTTGCATATCTACCGTCCATTCTTCCACCTTTTTACGAATGAAATGGTACTGAACTCGTATGTGCTTTGTTCACCAAATTTTTTTATGGCAAATTTAAGAAGTTGGCGTCTAGCATTGGTATCTAATAAGATTATTGGGTTAATTAGGCCGCTTTCCTCCAACAATTATTTTTTTTTACTTTTTACTTTTATTTTTGTTTTCTTTCATTTTAGTCATGATTTAATTGTAAATCTCTTGAATTTTCAATTCAATACAATTTAATCATGTATACATTCTAATTACTTTTAATTTTTTTCTTCTTTCTTTAATGTGCATAATTATTAAATGTGAATGTTAATTTTAAAATCTTTTATTTTAGTCACTCATATTTAATTATTTACTTATATATACTTATATATACTTATGTTTATAACATATATACACACACAAATATATGCATACATCATACATATATACATACATGCATATATATATATATATATATATTATAAGTATAATGGATACATAAGTGTAATGT